AATTTTATCAAGGTCTTGAACCTCAACTCCCGAGTTGTAGAAGGCAACCTGATCTAACACCCGGCCACAGATCTGATGACCGAAAGCTTTAACTTTTTCATCCATCCGAATGGCCTATTCCTTCAAATTTTCCATTTCCATCTCTAACTCGGCTACCCAAAGTTCAAACTCTTCATGATCCTTTCAGAATTTATCCTTCTCCTTTTTAACGTCGGTGTACTTTTGCTCAGCCAACTTAGGGTAAAATCGCATTCTGTACCGGTTAGTTAACATACATATTGTAACAGCCTGTTGTACACCGGTGTTGTTAACATTGATTATGATATTAACCGCAGTTACAATCACAACAGTTCATTTAAAAATGCGAGTAAACTTTTTCCTTTTCATTACGTAAGCATTTAAAATCAAATATAAAACGTAATGATAAAAGCTGTGATCATAACTGAAATCTAAACATGGAATAATTAAAATAATTGCCCAACTATCATATATTTCTTATCTTAAGTCATTAAGGGGTTCTCATAAACCCACTTAGAATAATTCTCTCTTTTACGATTTTATGTATCTGAACATGGTTCAGCAGTCTAGACATTGCGAGAGATTTAGTGGTTACAAGCCTCTCATATTTTAGTATGTTATTCTAGACTCAATTACCTTTCCAACAAGCTATTACAAGCTCCATAAAGTTCTCATTTTCTCCGGTTATCACCGTTTGAAGTTGGACAAGCAAAGCTGTCAGCCAACCCCAAACAGGACACCAAACATACCTCACCATTTCTATGATTCTGAACAAATCACTTGACCAATTGCACTAAAATTTTTATACAGTAAACTATACAGCTTAAGCTTCAATTTGACATATCATGGGCCTAATTTAGTCAAAAATTGAGGGAAAAATAAATTTTCAAAAACCTACCCTCGACAACCCCCATGTGCAAGGCAATCTGGACAGTCCTCAGTCTTCTATGTCTACAGGTCTGCGTACAACTCCAATGTCTACCAAATTTTGACACAACATAGTGGACATCTCAATCTTCAAAATGGTGTATCGAACGTTCCTATTGGAACTCTTTGGAAGGAGATATGCTCTCCCAAAGTTGACTCAAAAACTGTCATTTTATAGAAAATTCGACGGCATCTCCTTTATTTATTCAACCTATCTCACTTTATCAAAAGTGTGTTATTATCCTCATATGGTACCTAATAGACAAGGGTGACACTCAAGGACCAATAATGTCTTGGTGCTCTTACCACTCACAACAATTTATATCAATTACTTCAATTTATAAATTCTTACTTTGTCAACTTAAATCATTTCAATCACATTATTCCATTTGCATGCATTCTTTCGACATACTCATAATCATCACCTAAAATAGTTCTATTTCCCTTTCATCACATACATGCTTCAAATATTACACAAGGTCCATAATCATAAAATTACAATTCTCCAAAATAATAAGCATGAATACAAATAGCTTCTTAAGTAAAACATAATAAAACCTCAAAATACAACATGATAAATATACAACTAGACTTAGGCAAAATATGGCATGAACAAATATGACAATATGCATAATCCTAAATCCATATACAATGTTCATGCCCTAAGTCTAGCCTATGCCAAAAGTGGCCTCAAAATGAAAAAGTGCTCAAATCTCCAAGTGCTCATCTTATGGGCCTCTTGCCCACAGCTCCAGCCCCACTGCAACTACCTGAAATAATGCCCCAAACACAGGGTGAGATATACGAATATATCTCAGTAACCCAGAGGTTCTGGAGATTACTCCGCCCAATGGCTCACTAAGGTGTAAAATCAACAATGCACTATAACAACCCAAGAGGGATAAAGCAAGGGATTTAGTGAAGTAGGGATGCATATGGAGTAAAAATACGATGAAGCTGAAATGGTCGAAGCCAAAACCACGCAACATCCGGCCTATTGGCCTCGGCATATAGCCTACAGGTTCTCATCCAAGGAAGTGTTCCCAGAACATCAACCAAGGCACCCACCACCAATACATCTGAGACATTCCTAGAGTGCTCCTCAACGAATAACAACTCCATGACTCCAGGTCAACTGGAACTCCCTCATGGAGACCTATCCAGTGGAAGTCCTTAACGCCCAAAGGCAACTATCTACTGCCCAGAGATACGGTACATCCTATGTACCCAATATATATATATATATATATATATATATATATATATATATGCATGAGCATGTTATAACACATCATTAATATCCACCTCCAATCACTACCCCCAAGGGGCATGGTGGAGCATAAACAGGGATTAACCCCATTACCAAAAGATTACCTTGTTGAAGCTCCCTCTCTAGGTAACTCCAATGTAAGGTACCACTGAGCTTGGTCCAACCAGAAATGCATACACACAGATCATTTCCATTTCAACTATAATCACATAAAACATATTCTTGGTTACTCAAGAATGCATACAATTTCCATAAGCACTTACCACAATCCCTTTGGTCAAAGACCAAAGGCAATCCACCAAGCTCACCGTTCAAAGTTCACGACTGTGGGTAGCAACTTACAATGACCACACAAGGATCATCAATGCCATGGTGTAATCAAGTCAAAATACAAAGCACCACACTCCCACTCACACACCTATGGGTTCGGCCAAATGGCCCAAAATACCTAACCATGTAGTTAATTTTATTTCAAGGTTTCAATAGCTTCCTAAGCTTACCACAACACCAATTCATGTCCTTAATTCCATTTAATTTCCACCTAACATCATTTTCCCCAATTATCCTCCTTTAGGCAAATATCAACACTTAGGCATATCCAATGGTTCCACTTCCAATTCACTTACATCAAATCAACACACAACCTATTTAAACATAATTCACAACCACACCACCAATTCCATGATTTTTACAACATCTTTTCCTTACTTTCCCTACATGGCCGAATTTGGTGGGCATGCATAACAGCGATTTTTCAACTCAATTCCACACTTCCACACATCATACAATCCTACAATTATCTCATAAAATTACTCCACAACTCAATTACAAAATCCCACAATATTTCCATTTCACAAAGTCATGCATACCAATCATGAAATTGCCTAAGTTACCAAATTTTTCACCAATAATTTTTATGAGCTCAATCACCATAAAATATCTTCTAAGACACTTTTATATAATACACATTTTCAATTTAAAGTCTCTAACCACATCAATCCATACAAGCATGCTTTAGGTCTTCAAAATCAAATCCAACAATCCAAGCAATGAAATGTGTTGAAACTTGCCCACAATCAAGGCCTAGGACTCCTCCACACAATACCCAAGCAATGGAGGATTAAACAACTCCAAGAATATCAAAATTCTTCATCAAAATTGCGGACATGGGTCCTTGTTTTCTCCCAAATTAGTGAGTTTCATGCCTTGAGACTACTATGGTTATAATTTATAGCTCACATTCTCTCTTTCTTCTCTCTTTTCTCCTTTACAGTTATTTGTTTACAAAAGTTAAAATTTATTGCATTTAGACTAATATTTATAATATTAAATCAAATTGCATTTAGACTAATATTTATAATATTAAAACAAAAACAGGAACGCAAAGCATAGCATTCCACAGCTGGAACAAAACAGATGGGACAGGAACGTCGTCCCATCATTCATTAATTTATTATTATTATTATCTTCATCATCATCAACGTAACATCATCATAATATATATACATGATAAACTTATTTTATATTCACAATAATAACCTATGTAGCACCGATACTAACACGAGACACGTGACACGATACGACACGACATTCCGACACGTTAATTTTAAAAAATGTTAGATTTTGACACGTTTGGACACGTTTTGATATTAAATAATATTTTCAATTTATGTAGTGTATATTATATTAAATATTCAATAATTTAATAAAAAATGAAACTAAACTTATAATATTCATCAATTTGACAAAGAAACATAAGATATCCCAAATATTTATATTAAACTCAATAAAATGGTAATCGTAATTTAATGAATCTAATAGTTGGAACTAAAAACTCAACGCAACGCAACCTTTGAACCTTTTTTTGAATTTCTATAACGCGTGTTGGAGTGTCGGGGAGTGTCGGAGTGTGGGAAGTGTCGGACACGACACGTCAGGGTTTTAGAAGTGTCGGTGCTTCATAGATAATAACTAAATAATCAATCATTACAAATAAATGTATAATTTTTAAGGGGAAGATTATATTTACAAACTTTTTGTTTACAAACTCTTACAAACTACACTATATCTGACCAGTAATACACTCTTAAATAAAGTATTACCGGTCAAATATAGTGTAATTTGTAAGTTTGTAAATATAAACCTACTCAATTTTTAATTATCTTAACAAATTGATCTTTTGTTTATTTTACGTATTATCCAAGAATTAGGTTAGCATAGAAAATCACACCCACTTTAAACATCTTATCCATTTATGTCTCTCCTTCAAGCAGTTAGTTTTCAGATCTACGGGAGTAATTATTCCTTTACTAAAAGCCAAAACAAAAAAATGAAATATGAGAAGAGTAAAGATAGGATTAATATAAATGAATTCCTTTTAGTCATATTTCATAAAGGATATTACTCGATACTCTTCCCACGGACCATTAAATCGTTGGATTCGTTCAATCAAACGCCTTTTCTATAATACTATCCACTTGCAAGAATGGCGACGCATGTGTCAGCGGAGTGGTCTCGTTAATACAGGCAGCGGAACTTGTGTCAAAAGTGATCCAACTAAATAGACCAACAGGCCTTAAATTTTTTCCACCCCGTAACATATCAATGAATAGTTTTACAAAAGTAAATGTGGCACGGAGGAAAGTAAATTTCAATAATTCTAGACTGCATTAGCAACCGTAAAAAAGTAAATGAGATGGCAATCATGGACGTTCCACCTGAAAAAGGTATATTAAATTCTATAGAAGTGGCAGAAAGATATATTTAATATTGTTTAACAACGGAGTGGATGTGAATTTACATGGTACATAATTATCATCTCTGGTTCTTCCCCACTACCCATATCCATTTTTTGCCCGTTGGTAACACTTCTTTACACTTTCATGCAACAGAAATATGAATGAAATAAAATCAGAAAATAAAATTCTAAAAACAAAGAAAAAAAAATGAACAGGAACTCTACAGTTTGTGGTTTGTGCCTCAGAGTTAGCAAATTCCAACAGCCAACGAAGGTTGCCAATTCATTCTCTCCTAATGTTGCCTGCAGACTGACAAACATATCTTTGTCCTTTTCTATAAACACAAATGTATATCCCTGTCAAGAACACACAACATTAGCAGCAAACAAATATTACATGTTAGCTTTACCAATCTACTCTAACAGTAACAAATAACAATTAAAGCATGCATTCACTCTTTGCTACTGTTCCCTGTAAAGAAATCTAGCCATAAAGCAGATACTTGTGAACAACGATTAAATAAGCCTATATTTCATAACCAATACTCAACTCCCTGTAGCACAAGTATTGACCAAAAAAACAACTTAACTTACTCATGGAATCTGTTGCTTGCCAACAATGATTTAGTTGGAATTTAATCAGGTTTTCACATAATCACGCCATCACGCTTTCTTTTGTTAGACTTGAAAAAGAAGCACATGTGAACCCAACTCTTTTTCTGCTTAACTGGCTGGGATTTAACATTCCTCTTCTCCACAAGTTCAGCCACGTACAGGACAACCGCCTGCAACGCAAGTTGCAACAAGACATGAAGCTTGAGATTCAGAAAAGAACTAGATTAAAACAAAAAAAATTAAAAAAACCAAACAAAAAATTACCTGTGCTCCCTTTTGAGCTATATGTCTTGGTGGTAATTCAAGAGGATTCTCTTCCACTCGTAAGATGCGTAGTCGAGTGAGCATCCTAAATGAGTCAGGAAGGACACGTATCTGATTATTGCTGATATCCAACTCCTCAAGCATTTCAAGGTTCCCAATGGATCTTGGTAAGGATTGCATGTCAGCAAAATTGTTTCCTATGTTCATCTTGACAAGAGAGGTGGCAAAACATAAGCTCTCAGGCACTGATTCAAGCTCATTGAAACTTACATTAAGTTCCTTCAGGTTTGTTAGACCTGACATTGTTGTAGGTAGTTGTTTAATGTTGTTGTACCGCACAGACAAAATCTCAAGACTCTGAATCTTCCCTACAGCTTCTGGCAGGGCTTTGAGGCGGTTATAATCAGCACAAAGCTCTCTAAGAGAAGAACATCGACCAACAGAATGCGGGATTTCTTCTATATCATTTGTCTCCACATTCAATATCTTTAGGCTAACAAGTGACCCTAAAGAGTCAGGAAGCACAGAAACCTGATTTGAGCTCAAATCAAGCTCCTCAAGACGTATCAATCTGCCAAGAGAAGCTGGCAGAGATGATAACTGATTTCCTCCAACATTTAAATACACAAGACTAAGGAGATCCCCAACAGAATCCGGGAGCTCCTTGATCCGATTTGAATGCAAATCCAACCTGGTCAAGGACGAAAGGCCTCCCATTGTGGAAGGAAGTGCCATAATCCTATTCTCAGATAAATCCAGGGTGACCAAACTCGATAACTTTCCTATCGAATCAGGTAGCCAATCAACTTGGTCCATCAACTTGTTCTGCAAATTGAGATCATGGGTACGTTTCTTTGCAGATACTTCAACTAAGCTAGCCAGTTTTATCAAACTCAACTTATCTCCACCACCACCAGCATCTTGACCTACAAAACCAAAGTTCCATCATAACAAGACTATTACTAAATTTAACTACTTTGGAAGCCAATTTTGGAAGTTATAGTTCACACTATGGGACTAAAACAAGCCAAAATATATGGTTTACCTGAAGTGTAAGAGGGTTTTAACGAGGAATCTACTATCTGTGCTTTGGATGAGATAGCGGGTCCAATTCCATACCCACCAGGGAAAAACGTGGACTTGGCCTTACTCACATAACTATCATCTCTCGTGAACAATAATTCGGCCTTCAAAGGTTCTTTCTTGAATAAACTCGAAGAAACAGAAGTTTGAGGCAGAGGGTCAGGATCAGGGTCATCGAAACCCCTTTGAGAAACCGAATTCTTGTTGGAAACGCACTTGGAAGCTCTGTGAATCAATTCATCAAACAGGGAGTGGGCGTTTTCTAGATCGAGAACTTTAAGAGCATCCCTCTTCTGCTCCTTGCTCTGGAAATACACAATGTTCTTCTGCATCTCTTGAAACACAATGAACAGTTCCTCCGGCACACCGGGATTCTTGTTTTGCCTCGCCGCCACCGCCATGGCCTCAAGCCTCGCTTGGTCTTCTCTCTCCACGTTTGCGATCAGAGTTCTCGCCGCTTCCACTTCTTCGATTTCCTGCCTCGCCGGTAACGATCTATGGATCCTCATTATCCCTTCCACTAACTCATCCACGGTTCGCACAACCCACGACGATGGCGACTCCATTTTTTTTTTTTTGTTTTTTTTTTTGTTTACGCTATTGGATTGGGGATCATGAAACAAGTAACAACACCTTTGGAATGCTCTTCAACGAGTTTAAAATTGGAAGAGGAACTCAATTTTGCTTCCTCGAGTTTCTAGAAAGAAAACCATGGAAAAAAAAAAAACAAAAAACAAAAAACGAAAAGTAAACCGTTAACACTTCACACGCTACCCACGAACGAAAAAATACTTTAATAATAATTCTATTAATAAAGTAATTAGAAAAGGTATGTGCAGATCAACTTTGAAAAATTAAGAAACGAAGAAACCCGTTCTACTTTCTTTTCTTTTCTTTTCTTTTCTTTTCTATTATGCTTAGAGGAGGCCGAGGCTCAACCTTTGCACAGTTTCAGTTTTTTAAGAACGATTTAATTAAGGATAGAAAAGTAAAGGGGTTAAGATGAACAACGGTAGTTGTATCGAAAACTCAAATTTGTAGCGTGAAAATCAATTAAGACAGATATCGGTTAACGGTTATCATATCCCAATGATAGAGTACATCTAAAGCACCAAGATAATTTCCTTCTTATATCAAAAACAAATATATAAATAAATGACAGAGTCGTTACTATTTACAGGGATAGGATACTCTGACACACAAATAATGTTATGCACAATGTTACGATCACATCTTAACCGTTAATTTCCGCCAATCAACGGTTATCATTTATTGTGAATTAATAATTAATTAATGAGTTTGATTTGAAAAATGATAACCGTTAATTGGCGGAAATCAACGGTTAAGATGTGGTCGTAACATTGTGCGTAACATTATTTATGTGTCACAATATCCTATCCCTTTATTATAACTTAAATTTTTATTCCATTATCTTTTAGAAAGATAATGTGGGCAAACATAATCAACTCTTAAATATGCGCTTCAGAAAATGATTCACATTTTAAAGGGTAGGGGGCTGCGTGCGAATTGCGATGTTGGAACAGAGAGGGAAACAAGAGATTTGGATCGGAGGGGTGGTAAATGCAGGAGGCGTAAGTGTAGGGAGGGGGCGTGGTGTGGTTCACGCAGCCAGCCCGAGCCAGCTGGCAATGCTACTGTTATCAGTTCTGATATATCTGATTGATATCAATTCTATCCAATGTTATTAAACTCTAGCCGTGATTATTGATGAGATTGAGCTACACGATTATTGGGTCACTAATTTAATCAAATGAGTTACTCATTCAACCGCATGATTCGATAAATATATATAAATTTACAATTTATATTAAAAAAATTATAAATATACTTAAATACTTGTAAAAAAAAATATCAATTTCAAATATTTTAATATAAAAATAATAAATTACACCTTATTGTCCAACAAAAAATCAATCAAACATATAATATTTGTGATACTAGTGTTTCAGATTCAGTAAACGACATCTCTAACTATAAATCAAATCAAAATTCTCTGCATATTGCATAATCAAGATAATATTAGTGTTGTAGATACATAATCTGTGTAAGTTAATAAGTTACAAATCACTCAAATATTTCAAAAGAAAAACAAATCATTTGAGAGTAAAAAAAAAAAGACATTAATTTATGAAAATTATTTTTTTTTTGTAGACTGGGTCGGGTCATCGGTTGAACCGACCGGGTCACCGGTTTTTACGAAAACTGATCGGGTCGCACCGAGTCACACTGGTTCTGTAACAAGGCCGGTCCAATATGAAAATCGGACCGGTTACATGACCGGTTCACCGGTTTCCGGATCGATCGGCCGGGTCGATCCGATTTTTATAACATTGATTATATCGCACTCAGCCTCACGTGTTGTGCCGTTACGGTTAGTCGCCCTTTAACCCTTTCCCTTTCAGGCCAAACCCATGCCTATGTTGGCATGTTGCCATTTCTCTTGCATATTTTTTACATGTGTATACCTTTTATATTGGTTAGATTTGTGTGCAAAATAACTGGTTCAGTTGCCTTGCCTTTGATCTGAACTTGACCTGACCAATAAATACATATTTTTTTGAACTAAATTTAATTACTGATCCACTTTTATTTGGGTCAGTTTTAAACCTGACTTATTTTAATTATTTACCCATTGACCTAAAACTTGATCCATACCCATTATGTGCAAAAAAAAAAACGAAAAATCAACCACTTTTATTCTGCATTGACATTATATGATATAAATTATTTGCTTCTGCATAAGGTGTATCACCTTCTTAACTAGTATATGTATTACTTAGTATGAACTTTTTAATCTTTTGTAATCACTTATTGTCAGATTAGTCAGACACTGTTTTTATAGAGATTAGCCCTCCTCTCGTGTTCTATCTACCTTTCTGTCAATAAAGAAATAAGTACTCATACTTGGCATATGCTAAATTGCATCTCATTTTGATACATGTGTGTGCTAAATATAAGCTGAAAGTTTAGTATGTGAACCAAAATCTTTGAGTACGACATGAAATATTCTCTCTTTTTTAATTTATCATCAATTTGGAGCTTTTTGGTGATCCAATAAAATCATGATAATTGCAAATATCAATTATGAGTTAGAATGAGTTGCCCATGACATTGATCAGTATCATGGAATAGTAATATTAGCATTTTTTTGAAGAATTGGTATTTATTTAACAAATATCAAATTTATTATATAATTTATATATTTTAAAACAAATAAAGAATTAAATTACATAAGTTTAAAAATTAAATCAACAACTATAAAAAAATCAAATAAAAAACAAGTTTTAAAATCAAGTCAAAAGCGGGTCAGGTCTGATTTGACCTGATTTCGCGATCTGGATTTGATCGGTTTTGAAGCAAAATTCATCTGATCTAATCCAATCCAATTTTATTCGGTTTGGATTAGATCGGTTTTTGATTTTTCGAAAAACCTAATATTTTAGTTATACTAATCACTAGTTATATAAAAATAAAGCCATTCAAAGTTATAAACCATAAAAAATTCAAGTCTTCAAACTAAAACAAGTCTTAAAACTCATGAAGAGTTAAAATAGATTAATAGACAATAAAAAACTAAAATAAGATAATTTGCTATAAATAACTGTTGGACAAGTGACCTTAAACTCAAGAGGGGGGGTGAATTGAGTCTTAAAAATATTTTCGCAAAATGCCTCACTTTCCTTTTTGAAAACGAGTATCTTGAGTTCAAATTATTTACTACACGTAGAGACTATATAATAGCAAATAACTCAAGTAAATAATTGACAAGATATGAAATTAAATATGCTCAAATGATCTAACAATGCTTATGCAAAGATAAGGGTTAGAGATATTGCAAACGAGATGTATCCTAGTTCGGTCACCACCACTGTGACCTACGTCCAGACTGAAGCCGTTTTGTCAACTTTCACTATTCGGTTGGGCTTCAAGGGTGCTCAACAAACCACTACAATATTCTCCAAGACTTCGTTTACTTGGAGACTAACACTTTTTCTTCACTAACACAAGGGTTCACTCCTCTCTCAATTCAAGAAGTAAGATTGAGGTGATTAAGAAAGGCTAAGTACTCTCAAAGTACGGATTACACAAATTGAAGCACTAATAGGTGTATAGCTTTACAAGAAAGATGAGCTCAAGTGTATGCAATGATCAAAGTGAGTAATTAATGAGCAATAATTGGCTAGAATGAGTAATAAAGGTTCAATAATTGATCTATGGTCGTGTACTGTTCATCATTGTTGATGTGGGTATTTATATTGACACCTCATTTGAAAACTGGTCGTTTCTAGCCGTTTATAGCCGTTGTGATCTGTACATATCTGGATATTTGTTGGGCTCATATCCGAATATTGATATCCGGATATGGTATCCGGATATTCTCAGTGAAATATCTGGATATTTCATGGCAGCACCCTTTTTGCACGAAATCCGAGTTTCTTTTCTTTCAAAATGGTGTCTAAGACTTTTAATGCATGTAATTGGTTATGGAAATTATCTAGAAATGTTTATATCATGTAGGTACCTTTTCCAAACCAATATTGTACATATCAAACCATTTGTTTTGACATTGCTTTAAAGATGCGTTCTTTTTAGAACAAATGAATGATTTAGGATCATGAATATGTGTGATTACATTGTGCAAGGCTGCTTACATGCTTAAGTTATTTCAAAGACCTTTTAATGCATGTCTGAATTGTTAGATCAAGGTTCTTTAAGCACTTTATGATTAAGTAACTATATGTATGACTTGAGCTCATGCAATGCTAGAATCTATACACCTTTACATAATTTTCTTAAGTCCTAAATGAATATACCATTGAGATCTTGGACTTGGCTTGATGCTTGAATTGAATACTCTCACTTTTGCTTGATTTCTTTTGGATGTTGCTTCGTCTTTGAGCATTCCTCTTTACGTTTGTTTGTTATCATCAAAATTATGTCGACGTGGAATCATCAAGCGTATTATCTTTGAGTATGTGGCAACCACATCATCACTTTAATTCTTCAATCTCCCCATTTTTTATGCTGACAAACTTTAAATTGAGAAAGAGGGTTAGTGTAGCATTTATTTATTTGAAATTCAATACTCCCCCTATTTACCTTTCACCTTGACTAATTGAATATTTCTCAATTTAGTATACATTTCTCCCTCTTTGGCAACATCAAAAGGAGGCGAGTAATCCAATAAAGAAAAGATTGTAAATGAGTATGCAAGCAATAAAATAGTGCAATCAAATCTCAAGAAAAACACGATGCATAACATTAAGAAAAAATGATACATACAAGAAATAGATACTCGTAGTACTCAAACATAAACCAAAAAGAGTACAAGCGTCTCAAAAAACATAGTCTATCTAAATAACAACAAACAATCCTATAGACTATGAATCATCGTCGGAGCCAGAAGCTGTAGGAATATGCTCATCACTGGAAGTGTCCTCATTTGAAGCAGTGGCCTCATCACCCTCAGCATGATCGTCACGAGAAGCACCATCACCACTGGCAGGAGAAGCAAGACCAAGAGATGACTCAATGCGAGTGAGGCGAGTAGAGATATCACGACAGAAGGCAATATGAGCAGCTTCTTGCTACTGAAGGTAAAGCATGATATCATGTGAAGAGTAGCCTCGAGGAGCAAGTGGAGGTGGCAGTGGAGGAAGCGAAACCGCAACAGCAGAAGGTGGATCTACTGGCATATCAGCAGCCTGTGGAGTGCTCAGATCCTCATCTATGTCGTCAGCAGAGGCATCACCATATAAGGCCTCATCATCCCATTCCCACTGACCATATAGGCGGATGATGTTTGTCTTCATCAGCAGCTTCTCTCCAAAGCAATTATGACCGGTCATGAGCT